TGGAAATGCATCAATCAATCCAAATATATATTTAAAAGTCATTTAACTCAGTCTTGTGAATTTTCAAAAGGTATCTTCAACTTAAATTACCAATGAAAACTTCAAAAAATCAGCCAAAAAGAATGTGGTGTGATATGCAGAAGTGGAATTGGTATGCTGAGTTCAAATACTAAGTATCCGTTTCATTTAATTTGCACTAATGTCTTTGACCTCCAATGATTGGGTTCTCTGACATTTGGAATAGGACCATCTTTCCTTAATCACTGCTGCCATGACTGCAGTACATTTGGTGTTCCTACAATGCTAATGGGATTGGTGATTGGGATCAATAGTGCTAATAATTCATTTCAAAATTACAGAAAAAAATTGTTTCTATATTGTAAATGTCAGTTACCTAGTGAGTTAGAAGAAAATTTTTCAATCTTTTATCAGAACAGGAATACATAAATTTATGTCCATAAGCCTATGAAGCCAAACTAGAAATAATATACACACACACTTCAGTGCCCCATTAAGAGATGTGACTCTTTAAACAAATTTGATTTTTTTTTTTTTTAACACCTACTAAAATAATTTTAAAGCTTGACTACTTTTTGTTGAATTTTGTGAATAAAAAATTTGGTTACTTATATTTTTAGTCCAATTGAATCTGTTGAGAGAAACTGGTTTGTGAGCTCTACCGATTTTATTTACATAATTAATGTCTCCATAGATACACAAACTTGGAAGGACAATATCACTTTATTAAAAATGTAGCAAAATTCACATGAAACATGGCTATTTGTAAAATACATTATTCTTGGGATTTGGAATAAATAAATTTCATTATTTCAGAACTTCTTGTGTAATAAATGGCCAATACAAATTTACTTTTATAATTCTTCTGTGATTTGATACTGGAACATTGTACTGGTAAGCTGTGATGACACTCAAATACAGACAGAAAATGCTATTTATAGATTATGAAATTAATACTGCCTCAGAAACCTCTCGTTAAAACTACATGAAATTTTTTCTTATATGTCTTCATCAGCATTCTTGATGGTATCAAAGATTGAACATAATGCAGTTTTTTTAAATTACAATATTTATTCTATGAATCACTTTTACAAAATCAATGATGTTCCCATTCTAAGTGATTTAACGTTTCTTTAAGTAACCAATGAACACAAAGAATAAAACTTCTAAGATTTGAATTTGCATTCTTTATTGTTAGAAAACCTCAGTGGAAACAATCTTAAGAATGTAGCTGTATAAGTCAATCATATAATTCTGTATGTGTGTGTTTTTATGCTCTGCTATTAACTTACATAAATAAAATACAATTCTGCTTTGGTAGTGAGGAAAGATGAGAGAAAAAGATGATTGATTTTAGTGAGAAATAGCAAGCATACATGACATTAACAAGAAAAAAAGGGAAGTAGAGGATGTGAGTCTGCTTCAGTGAAATGGAAAACCCTGTCAATTTAAATTTTTTTTATTTGTACCCTCTTAAAATAATGACCAGCATTCATATTTGATTGTTATCACAATATTTGTTAAGCTCAAATATTTAATGATTTTAACAAGTATATTATAGCCATGGAATTCACAAATAAAGAATTGAGTCATTAGAAAATTCCAGTAGGAAAATGTTGAAATTTTCATAAGTTCTGCTGATTAGAGGCAACACAAAGTGCAGTTTTACAAGAATGAGATGAGTTCAACTTCTCCTTTATTTCTAATCCATACTACTTGCTTAATGATTTTAGAATATAAAAAAGTAGATCTGAACATTATGATAAAAAGCAATAATAATAATGACAATGCTTAATATAAGAATAAGATTACTATGATAGTAATCAACATAATAGACAAAAATAAGAAACTATTAAAAACAAAAAGTTAATGATGAAACAACTTTATTTAGGTAATATTTTTCTGCTACACTAATATATATATTGTTTTTTTTTTCTCTTTAGGTGCTGATGTGCCTGTATTTTCTTGGTTCTCAAGGAGAATCAATACGCAGCATTGCTAAAAAATTTGACATGTGTGAGTCATCGGCTTCTGTGATTCTTGACAGCATCATCAAGGCACTAAACAATTTAAAGGCAATGGTTATTCGATGGCCAGCCTCTGCTGATATTAATGAAATTGTCAAAGGTTTTTTTGACATTAGTGCCTTTCCAAATGTACTTGGCATCATGGCTACCACACATATCCCAATTTTGGCACCCAATGATCACCCAGAAGTATTTTTAAACTCTTGGAAATGCCATACAATTGTGCTTCAAGCAATCTGTAACCACAGAATGAAGTTTGTAGACTGTTATACAGGTTGGCCAGGGTCAGTCCATGATTCAGCAGTTCTATGTGAATCAGACATTTTTAGAAAAATAGAAAACAAAACAGCTCATTATTTTCCTGAACGGGATTCACACTTATTGGGTGCGGCAGTATATCCCTTAAGAAAATGGCTAATGACACCCTATGTAGAGGAGGAAGAGAATTATCTTCTTCCTTGTCACCAGGAATACAACAAAAAGTTGAAAGAAACAAGATTTGTGGCTCAACACACATTCATGCTATTAAAAGGACGATGGAAACGTCTCAAGTTTGTTGGTATGACACGGACAGCTTTAATTCCCAATGTTATCATAGCGTGTTGTGTTCTTCACAACTTTTGCCTGGGCCACGAAGAAGAATTTAAAGACTTTGTCAATGGAGAATCTCTACCCAATGATGAAGCTTTTCAATCACATAATGTCACCTTTCCAAATGATGAGGCTGGCAGATTAAAGAGGGAAGCTATCATGGCCTACATTAATAACAATTAAAACATCTGTAAATAAATCATTGTAGTTTTATTATTCTGGTTCTGTGTCATTATTTATGGGGGAGGGTAACTAATTCTCAAAGCAACCAAGAAGGGATTAAAAAAAAAAAAAAATCTGTGTCTGGTCATTTGGTCACATTTCAGTAAGTAGGTCAGCCAATGACACCCCCTCATACAATATTTCAAATATTTTTGTAGTTGTTTTAAGCCTGGACAATAACAATAAGTGTTTGTGGTTGTATTTATTTATTTATATTTTTTATTGTGTATGTGTGAGAACTTGCTCCCATTCTCCACCGACTCATTAAAATGTAATGAGTCATGAGTTTCTTTAAGGATAAAATGAGATGTGGCCTCTTTAGATTTAATACATGCATTAAGCAGATACAATCTGACACTTAGGAATTAGTCTCTTACTTAAAAATGGTTGACTGTTTAAAACCAGGGTATCAAACTGAAAACCAAATTATAAAAATACTATAATAGTATTCATAAAATGACAGGATTAGTGTGTAATAACTGTACATTGTGGAAATGTTTTTTTTTTTTTTTTTTTTTACAAGTGAATTAGGATCCTTGTCATAGAGTATTAGTTAGCAAATTGGTCTTCCAATTGTTTCTACTGAGTTTTATGCTTGTGGCCTTGTGCCAAAACTTGTGTTCAGATTAGATAAAGTTAAAAACAAATACAAAGAGAAAAATCTTTTAATCCAACATTAATTTTCATGACTATAAATGCTAGATGGGTAGATGCCTTTGGGTAGGCCAGCAGATATTAATTTCCCTGTTTACAAAAGAAAAATTGTGATAAATATAATGTTTATAATATATGTGTGTAAATATACAAGGTGCACCAGAAATACTAGCTAGATGAAGACTATTGCCACTAATGTCTTACCATTATTTAGAAGGTATTTCTAGCACACACTGTACAAGATCAGGATCTCTCTCTATATATATATATATATATATATATCTGGCAAAATAAGGCAGATTTCTCCTTTGATGTTTTGTCAAAGCGGCATCACCAGAAAAAAAATTTATTTCACAAAAATAGAATCTGCATTAGTAGGACAAAACATGACCCATGTTAAGCATCTGAATGCATAATTTTACTTAGTAAATTTTGGAAATTAAAATTGAACTAATTTCAACTCAGATTCATTTTTTTTTTCTTTTTTTATCAGAAAGACACAAACCCAATACAATTTATCTTTAGTATATACAGCCCTCCTCACAAATTAACAAAATCCTTGACAAAAAAGTAACAAAACAAAACTAATGGTTGATAATACTTCATCTAATAATAAAAAATTAAAAATGTTTCTATTGTTTGCCAGTTCAATTAACTGCTGCATCAAAAATCCTCTTTTAATCTACCATTTATTATCCCTGCTATTTTGCTACTAAGTGTGTATAGATGTCAGTTAAACCTGTTGGGGACATCAGTTCAGGATTTTTTTTGTTTCTAATCAATCTTCTTTCAGATGATATGACATATTTTACATTGACACATTAATTTATTTAAGAAACAATTACTCAACAAATTTTTAAGACAATCCAGTTTGCGTTATGTTGGAATTTTTGTAAAACATATTTCCGGTGGTGTCAGCAATTATTCTTTATGGAAATGTAAAAATTTGCAACTTAAACATTTTTTTTCAAGTAAAATTTAGTCATGAAAATATTGATGGTTATTACAAAAAGAATAACATTTTCTCAAATTTTTTTAAAATAAAAAAATCTATTCATTTTAAAAGTAAATAAGTAAAATATATACTGAAATTTTTATTTAAATTGAAAAATTCCTGATTTTTGGTAATTTAAAAAAAGTGCTGTTTTTCCCCCAATTTTCCTCCAAGGGTTTGTGGTCCCACAGGTTGGAGAAACTTTGAAATTGATATGTAGTAGAGAGGTGGGGGTGAGACCCTAGCGCCGGTCCTGTGTGTGTGTGTGTGTATGTATATTAGATAGATATTCACATTTTTATATATACAGATCATGGAATTAGGCTAGTTACTATTATTGATATTCTATGGTGTCTATAAATATTAGTCTAATAGATACCTCAATGAAGTAGATAGTTTTGAGCCAAATTTTACAGAGGTGAACAAATCTATTAAGAATAATCTTATATAGCATCAAATTTCATAAAATAAATAAAAAATTAGTTTTTTCTTACTTGATTGTGGGGGTCTCCATTTCTCTGTTACTTGTAGAAGCTGGAATACAGTATTTGGCTGCATAAATGCAAAATATTCTTCATCTTCTACTTCAGTACCATCACATTCCAAGACCACTCTTGTAGATGCACTTGGGGAAATTTCCAGCTTGCTTTTTCCTGAAAAAGTTTAATTTTAGTTCAATTAATGCAAGCCCCCCTTTTTTTCTTTTTTGCATATTTTAAAATTGACAGTTTCAAATCTCCCAGCGTTTACTTAATTTTAGAAATCCACCAGTTTTAAAGATAGGATAAAAATAGCAAAAGTTTTAAACATTTTAATTGTAACAATGTAAATATTTTTAATATCTTCTAAGCTTGTTTTACACTAATTTCCTAAAAGAAATGTAGCTGTATTAAGCCCCAACCCAATAAAACTGAAATATAATTTCCATCTTCATTTATTTAAGGCAAGGAATTAACTGCCTGGATATGTAAGATAGGCAGGGGGGAGACTGATTTACCATAACTCTCATTATCCACTCTCTATTAATCATAATAGCAAATTTGATAGCAACTTGCTCAGTATTTATATTCTTAGTTTAAATTTTGTTGGTACTTTTTAGATTGTTGTCAAATTTATTGTATACTAGCTGTGGTACCCAGCATTGCCCAGGTGTACATAGCTTCAATAGTATAACTGAACGTACCTGTACATCCGCCCACCCTGTCTAGAAATGTCTGCTTACATGCATCATCTGTTGGTATACAAAGCTACTTCCCCACCATCTTTTTTATGGTATGTCTTTTGCAAGTATTTGATTGTTCTTAATAAAGGAATTCCATTGATAGAAACTTCTTGTGTGGTTGTTGCTCAGGGTTAAATTGTTTCAATGTTTTAGATATTCAGTAAATTTTCTATGGCCGTAATAACTTAGTATGGCATTGTTCACAAATCTAATAATCAAACAAAAACAGGGATAAAACATCAAAGCTTGATTAAACTGCGAGTGAAAACACATGAATGCCCACCTCCCCTTCTTCACATGTTTACTGTAAAGCTGGGGTTAATAAGAGCTTCTTTGGGAATTTTTCCCTTTTAGTGCTTCAATAATCCTTCTCAAACAATCTTTGCATCAAAAGTTGTTTAGGATGGAATCACAAAGAAACTATTGGCTAAATGGGAAATGCCAATTTCGTCCACTTAACTGAAATAATCTAAACCAAATATTCATGCATTTGTGTGTCATATGTAATTTACATGGCAAATTTAGAAAGCATCAGATGAAAAACAAGAGAGTTATGTCCAAAAATGGGCTTTTTGAACAGTTTTTCATTATACGCAAGGAAGTGAAAGGGACTAAAAATCTTTGCCTTGTGTTTTGTATAAAGTTGTACCCACCTTCAGTTTTATCGATTTTTCTGCCAAACCTGGAGATTGAAAAGTTGGTCTTGACCTACCTTGGTAAATTTGCAATATGTGTGTACAACTTCATCGAAATCGGCTGAGAAATGTGGACATGCATCTTTTGTTTTATAGATATAGATAATTTTTGGTGGGTCTCAAATTCAACAGATTTAAATATCATTTGTTTTAAGCAAATGTAAAGAAATTTTACGTCAATTTTTTTTAATTTCATATTTCAGCTGATATAGATAAATACCTACCAATATCAACAATTTGCTGAAGAGAATTTGCTACAACTGATTTTCGCAAAGTACGATCAGCATTCCATATTTTGAAAGGCTTATCCATATTTTTTTGCTATACTTTAAAGCAAACCTGAAAAGAGAAATAAGAATGGATCTGTTTTTTTTTTTTTTTTAAACATGTTTCATATTAATTTGTATTTTATGAGAAAAAAATATTTGTACTAAATAAAGCAAAATGCAGAAGATAATCTGTGAAATATCAGTCACTTCAGGACAGACATTGCTTTCACAGCTATTGACTTGCTTGAATCACTATCCACTTTATTACCAAAATCAGAAAAACAGGATAAACGACTTTCTCACAAGTTAGCAGGACTCTAAAAATGTTTATTAGTTAATAATACAAAATAATTAAAAATAATAATTAATAAAAAAAAGTGGAAATAAACAAATAATCATCTAGGTTTATCTCATACACATTCATTAAAATACTCTTTTGAAAAGTAAGTCAGACAGTTTTCATGAAAAATTATTACATTTGTTTGTAAAACTTTCTATTTTTAGAATTGGCTGTTAAAGAACTGACAAAATATTTCAGTCAAGGTGGTTTCAAATACATTTTTTAAATTAAAAACATATATTATTTCTATTTATTATCCAATCAAAAGCATTGGTTTATGCCCATGTAAATTTGAAATTAAGGTCTGCCTGGAGCCACTTCAATTATTATACAAAGAGAAGAGCCAACAAATAAGTTTCAGAAGGTAATCAAATTTTCAAAGATGAACCAAATATTTCAACCAAGACAGAAGACAACACGAAAATTTCATCCTGAAGGCCGATTGATAACCTAATTTTTTTAAAGATTGTTTTGAAATCTTTCAAGATCATTTTTATATCTTTTGATATGTTATCCTGCCTTGTGTTTTTTTTTTATAAGGTGTACAAAAGGAAATTTTTGTATCCATTTTGTAAAATATTGTATTTTGTTACTTATTAATGCAATAAATGTTTGTTCTTTTAAATTTTCATGTTTGTGTTTTTATGTACCTTTGTTGATGTTCAAGATAAGAGAGAGAACATTCTCTCTTCTCCCAAGGAAAAAATTCTTTTAGGAGTCCTGACTAAATTTTTTCCACTGTGGACCAGGAACTGTATCTTAAAACAACTTCAATCATCAAAAAAATAAAAATAAACCATCCTGAAATCAAAATATTTTTTAAAACTGTGTTATGATTAATAGTTGCATAATGAAAACACCATTAAAATATTTAGAAAAAAAAATGAAATAATAAGTTTAAAAAATGAACAAGTACCAAAACAAATTACTGAATTTCTGGGAAGAAGAGTTATAGCCTAGTGGATAAAAGTGTTGGTTTGTGAATTTGGTGACAGTAATTGTGTTTTCAATCCATAGGCCAGACATTGAAGGCTTGGACTCAGTGGAAATAGGTTGAGTAATAATTGAGAAAGAAATCAGTTGCTTTTAGAATAAATATTATAGGATTTTAATGAAAAATGTATTATCTTGGTATCAGCTCCCAAATACCTAATCAGTCACTCCATACTAATGTCCTATCATTCCTGGGATGAGTCATATATGAACAATGTAAATGCATTACAAATGATTTTACTATAGAAATGTACTGAAGAAAAGCAGGAAAAAAGGGATTATTAGTAGTCAGGAATGTCTTGAGAGCACATAGATCTGCAGGCCTGTGCAGAAGTTTTTTTTTAGAGAGAGAGAGAGTGAGAACAGCAGCTGCCAGTGATGTTGTCCAAGGGAAAGAGTGAGGTCAATACAGCTTGACACAAGTGGTGTTGCAAGGTTTACCAGAAAAAAAACGTGACAAGACTGTCTTAAAGACTGGCTCTAGGTTTGAATTCAGAGCCCAGACTGCTCCACTATTTACCCATAGTTAGAGGTTTTGAATTCAGAGTTTTTCCTACTCCTAGACTGGTTGCCACCCAAGGCTATAGAATCCAGTCTGTCTTGCTATTTACCCACAACTGGGGGGAAGAGAGATGGATTCATACCTTTCCCAATGGTATTAGCACATAAGTGAATATAATGAACTAGAATTTAAACTTGGCTCTCCAATTCCTCAGTTCGCATTGCAATCCATTACTCCACTATGCCTCCATAGTAAATATTACTGAAAGAATATTATATGTACAATATTTTGCAAAATATCAAATCATGATACAATAACTCTTAAGATAAACTCTTAGCTTTGTGGATTACAAATTCAGAACAATTTTTTATGTAAAAAAAGTAACAGGAAGAACTTCTTTTCAAGTTTTATTATTTTCTGTTAAAAATAACAGATTTACTCATATTTTATACAAATTCCTGTAAAGAATATTTAAGACTTGCACAATTTTTCTAAGGAGTTTTAAGGCATCAAAAAGTTGGCAGCTAAGCATTAATAACAGGCAAGAGAAACTAATATAAAATTTTTTAAATAAAATAAACAACACTTGTAATAATTCATCTTACTTAAATACTCCATCCTATCAGGACAGTAATGATCATAACTCTCCACAGCACCCTTTTCTTTTCTTTTTTTTTAAATATCTGTATATTCAGCTTTATTCTCTTTAATTTTGAATTCAGAATTGTCTTTCTCCTAGATTGGTTGCTAACAAAACTAGAACTCAATCTGACCCATTTAATTCATAACTAAAAGTGAGAAAAGATAGGTTCATGCCTTTCCTAATGTCATGAGTTATGACTGGAATTTGATCTCAGCTTGCTAAGTTAATTTTTATGCTGTTAACCATTTATAATATTTACAACCATGGAACTAGGCATACAACCTTTCAAAATAATTTTAATAATTGCTATTATAAAAAATGAATAGTTTTAAATTATAAGAATGTAAATTAAATAAATGATTAATAAAAAGGTGAAGTTTAAAGCATAAATATTATAATAGATTAGGTTTGTTTATTACACTTGCTTTTAAGGGAAGTGTTTAAAATAATTAAAAGAAAGCCAGACAGTAAAAAAATAACTAAATAATAAATTTAATGTATAACATTTGTTATTTAAATTTTCTAAAAGAAAAAAGCTTGAATAAATTTTGTGTATAAAAATTTATTTTCAAATTGTAAAAAAAAAACAAAAACTAAAAAACAGGTGTAAATAAAATAAAGTTGGCAGTTTGTTAATATGAAAGATTTGGTTTTTCAAATATCAAAAAAGATACACTTTTGGATTTTTTTAGTCAATGAGAGAGGTGACTTCTCACACAAATTTAAAATTTAGTACTCAAACCTGGAGGTTGTTGGGGCCTATATAAGGAGTAGAATTGGTTGGAAAAATTAGAATGATAGAAGGATTTCAGCAGTCATAAGCTAATGACCAAGGGCCAATTGTGAAAATTTCCCTAAATAAGAAACAATTTTGGCTGTCATCAATAGAGGAACTAGATTGTTTCTTAGAAAAGAAGAAAGAAAAAGAAGCAGAAGCTAAAGAAACCAGGAAAGTGAAGAATTCCTGAAATTAATTACTGAGCTGTTGTTTAAAAAAGAATTCAATGAGATTTATCTCAATACCATTGTGTTTCATCTTAAGAACAAACTTGTTAAAGTCCCAGCAACTCCAGTGAATCCACCAACCTTTTCAGTTTCAACTTTTAAATAAGTGTATCTTTTTTGGAAGGAAATGTATTCTTATAGCTTCTCAAAAGATTTTTTGACTGTTGAAATTATGTAATAATGAAGATTTTGATGAAAGAAAATTATATAAGCTTCTATGAGCATAACATTTTAATTTTTGAATTGGTTATCTTGCTTTAATAATAATAAAGTGCACAAAAGGAAAATGTGCAATCTTATTCATACATACTGTATTCTGTTTGTTAATGTCAATAAATCTAAATTTTGTTCAAGTTTCACTATGGAGTTTAGAGTCTTATTTGTTGTATTTGCACCTTATAATCAGGATAAGAGAGGTGACATTCTTTTAAAATGCTTATTTGCTAGATGATTCTAATAAAACAAACAGATAAACAGATTTATATGTATTTCAGATGAGAATATGTGCATGAGCTGAAATGTTTGAAGTCTATTTTAAGCTAAACACCCACCAAGTAAATAAGGAATACACACAAATATTTAAGAAATGTTTTGCATTTCAAATTTGAAGGGGATAAAAAGTGTTTTGAAACCTGGACAAAGAACCCTTTTTTCTGAGCAGTCAGTCTTGTGGTTATTGAATATGTGGTATATACTCCAAAGCATAGTAGCAGGTTAAAAGTTTAGTGTGGAATTAAAGGCAAAGAGAGATTTAAAAACAAATAAAAACAATAGAAAAAAGACTGAACTGATGGTTGGAAACAACATGTATAACTGCTTTTAAAATACCAAAAGTCAATTGTAAGTTGTTATTCTTAGCAACTGGTTACAAGTCAAAACATTTACTTTCTCAGAATGGAGAAAGCAAACATATTTGTCAAACAAAATATTTAGTGATTAAACAGGACACAGAGATGTGAATTCCTATTTTTTCCAAAAGCATATAAATCATAAAAATATACTTATACAAGCATATACACACACTCTCTCTATATATATCTATATCTATATATATGGTGTATCAAAAATACTTTTACAAACTTTGGGGGCAGGTTCCTCACACCAAAACAAGGACAAAAGTCCATATAAACCTGTAGACTCGTCTTTTTCCTACCTATCACCCCTAACAACAGAACAGTCTATATCGCAAAGTTATAAGAATTTAGAAATAATAAATTAAATTATTATTCGACACCCTAATTTGGCATAATCTTTCTTTGTATATGCAACCGATCGCCGTAGTTCGTTACATTTGTTTTGCATTTTGCACGCAATTTTTATTTTATTTTAAAAATCACCATTCTTTATGATTCCTTCACATAAAAGTCACTCTTAAAAGACATTAGGGAACCCGAACTATGTAATATTTCGAATACGTCACAGTACGCGTGCTAAAGAAAAAAAAATTATATTGAGCAACATTTAAATTTTGATTAGATGACATATCAGTTGCAATTGCAACGAAAAGTGAAATTAAAGCTAAATCTTTAATAAAGGATTTTTTTTTTTACATCTTTCACTCTGTTCAATATTTAAATTTAACTTTAA